GCCCTTTTAAATTTTCCCCTTGAGTCAAAAACTGTGCTGCAGTAGTTATCATGAATCACAGAAACCATGACGGATTCGGATTATTTGTTGCCATCAGCGGCTGTCACAGATTTAGTCGTACTTCCAAGATTGATATTTCTGTCAGTGAATCCACCTGCTCTTATTCACTTTTTAATCATTCCAGAAAGATTTTTCTTGCTCTTTTTTAAAAAATGTGTTGCCTAATCTGCATTTAAGACACAAGAAGTTCAGTAAAAGTAGGGCGAGAGCACATAATCATCGATACCTGGTGTTAAAATGCACTCTGTCAGCATTGCCAGCATCAGCAACCTGACACAAATGGTTTGATCACTAACTGCATCATTTTCAACTTGTGTTACTTTAAGAAGTAAAAATCTTTTATGACTCTTTTTGTGAGAGTGACCAAAAACTATGTCAGTTTTTCCAGCTGTACTGTGCAGCTATGAAACCCCTCAAACAAGGTCCGCAGACAATGGAAAATTCATCAGCAGCAGGAACACAGGATCAGCAGCCCTGAGGGAGCAAGAGTAAGATGAGCTGACTGAACTAACACCAGCAGTCCAGAAGCTGTTGAAAGGTACGGCGGGGGTGGGGAGGCTGGAGGTTCAGTGTTTTGATGCTTATCCTTTGACACGTGAAAGAAGTCAAGTACTATGACCAGAATCCAACATTGTTCACGTATTTGGCTTCAATATCTGCTGATTGTCCTATTCATTCACTACATAATAGATTCTTTACACTAGTTTTTACCAGATATAAATTCCCTTAAACCACAAAGTGACTAATTAAAAATTTCCCAGGAACCAACATTGTCACATGAAAGAGCATCAAACGCTGATACTGGTGTAGCAGAGACACGCAGAGATATCCCTTGGAAAAGGTTCATTGATGCAACTGCCAAGGCACTATTGGATGCCAAGGGATCTTCTTTTAAAGAGTGATAAAGTCTGCATTTGGAGGTTCAGGAGTTGTCTGTTGATTGTAACACAAATTTGTAGAGCGGGGGACCTCTGTTTGTGACCTTACTTTAGCAGTTTTCTGTTTTTCACTTTGTTCCAGTTGTTCACTCACTCACTAGATCTGGGCATTAAAAACTACTTGGTTAAGTTTAGGAAAAGATGCGTTTGATACATCTACTCACAATATTTACCCTGCAATTTATCCTTAGCCAATGTATTTTATAGCGATCCTTTACAAGCATCCATGAGTGACAAGCCGGGAGTGAGTACCCATTTCATTATTGCAGTAACCTTATAACAAACCCGGGAGACGACGGTAACTTTACAAGAAGTCAGTGACTTTTATTCATGCAACTCTCTGAACCTTCATACCAATTAGCTGAATGCATCCCCTGGTTTAAATAAGGGAAAGATCACAGACAGTCACACCAAATCTCCTCGGGTGTCTAAAAATGAACGTCCATCTTTGCTCCAGCTCATCTGAAGCCACATTTCAATGTCCAGGGTAAGGATCAATATTGTCTGTGATGTAGCAAGAGCACAAAAAGGGGAAAAAGCTGACTTCCTGAAACATGACTTTATTCAAAATCACCAAACAGGGTCTTGAAAGAGGATGACTGTTTATAATTTTATGACATATCAGATTCACATTTAGTTGATTTAGGTGCTGTGCTGAAATGTGGCAACCCCTTGCAACTCTCTGTTATCACTTTTTTAATCGCATTATAGATAGCTGGACACTTTAGATTGTGTTACAGCTGTTGCAACTGATGTTAAACACTCACAATTAACACTACCGCTCACTTTTAGCAACATAAAAACTAAATATGCAAATCCTAATAGTCCTGTTTACTGAATACCCTTTCATGAGGTCATAAAAACTGATTTCTTTAGTAACTTGTCACTTTTACCTGTGGTACAAAGAAGTTTTTACATTTAATTTAAATAACAGTGACAATAAAACTACAGTTTTATTCAATTAAAGATTTCACGACCTTTCTTTGGATACATTTAATTTTGCTTCTTCGGGGACAGATCATTCCCATCTAAAACATCCAAACCAGCATGTGCTTCAGTCTTGTAACCACACTGTTCTAATTAAAATAATCATAGACTTTCTTTGAACTAATGGGCTGCATAACCATAAAATATTCATGTCTGTCTGGAATTCATTTGTTTGTCGTTTATAAAGCAGAAAGCTTGCAATATGAGTTAAATATTTGCCTTTTGAATGCATATCTAATGTTTCATTTAACAGCCGGTATATTTCTTTCATGATTAATTAAAATGTTTGGGGTTTTTTTGCTCCGTTATTTGATGCTAGGGGCAGAGCTTCTATGCTGATGATATCATTTTAAAGTAAATGCTATTTATCATATTCTGATTTTAATTGTTTTCCCCTAAAAATACAACAAACTTGTCTCCATGTTTTCAACCCTCCATCTTTCGCTGCTGCTTCTTTGGCATTGTAAGCTACAATAACGTCACAGCAGTGCAAGACCTGACTTTATTACATATTAAAAGTATAGTCCGTACTATGTACTTTAATAAATAAGAAATGTGCATCTTGCATGGTCGTAAAAGACCATTTCCCCCACACTGAGGAACCCCTATGCAGAGCCCCCAGATGTGAAATAGATCACACTCCCTTCACTTCCTCTCCTTCTGCCAGCCCCTCTTTCCACTGCAAAGAAAGAAATCATTCAGTTTTGGCCTTTTTTGAAAACATACCCCCCCAGCCCCCCTACCCCTCTTCCCTTCCCCTACCAACCCCTCCCAACAGCAGGCAGGGGCACACAGACGACCACACTCTCTAGCCAAACCCTAATTGTGTGTGCGTGTGTCTGCATTTTTTCCCCCTGACATGAAGAAGGGGAGCAGAGCAAGTATTTATGCGCTCCACTTGGAAATCGTAGTCCTGGAGCTTTTGAGTTGATTTGCGTAACTGAAAGAGTGGAAGTGGCAGAATCTAGCATTTTTCTATCCGAATAAATTCCCGGACGCAGGTAAGTTTGGTGATTGGATTTATGAAATCTGAGTTTAGTGTACAGTATTAATGGGAAAGCGGCTGCTTTCTCACTGTGTACTCCCCCTGGTAGAAGTAGATAAATTTGAATTCATGGCACTTGTATAAAGTTTGGTGTGAAAGAGCTGCTGTTGGTGTGGACGGCTGCTTTTGAGTTGAACGGAAATTTAAAGAGATGTTTTTTGTTTGTTTTTTTCACTGTCAGGAAAAAAAAGCATATGCATATAAAAAGGTCACATCATAGTATTCATACATTGCGTAGTTGTGTGCATGCAAAAATGTCTCCACTTTTTATGACTATACTAACAAAAACGTCTCTAACTTCCAGGCTTTAACACTACAGTCTCTGCTCTGCTACCTCACTGTTACGAATCCTTGTCCCACTAACACTGCAGCAAGTCTGTGTGTTGTGACATTTGTGAAGCCCACCTGTTCAGGCTTTAAGAAGAGGGGGGCAACAAGACTCAATTATAGGGACACCAAAAACACTCAGGTTCGCTTTAACCCACAGATATGGAAGAGAGCATGGCCACATTTAGAGATCTGATTGGAAATGCATTTCTGCAAGTTACATCATTTTCACTTTGATTCCAGCAATTCAAATTTCAATAATCTGTTTGTCCTTTTTCCCCTGCTATTTCATGTAGATTTGCTACATTTTATTCTATAAAAAGACAATTTAAAGATGCCGACATGCACTTCAGAAAAGAGTGATGACCAGTTGATTATGAGGGTAACTGAAAGGGTTTACTGAATTAAAATCAGTTTTTAAATCAGCAGAACAGCATAACAAAAACTCTGCTTAATGCATAGAACAAACAGCTAAAGTGTCCTAATGCTGGTGTTTGAGCTTATGGCTGCTTTCCCTCTGCAGACAAGCTTCTTCTATTTTAAGCCAAAAGAAAAGTCAGCCTATAAAAACAGAGCCTTCCACTGAAGCCAAAAAAAAGGTCACTATGGGCCACGGAGAGTCGAACACAAACCCTGTTTCAAAACCGTAAGACGCCAGCGTGGAAACTGTTCAGACATTTTCCAAAGACAAAGGCAACTGCTGCCGCCACTCTGTGATGTAGACGGGAGCACATGTGCCTCTGGTCAGCGGGGTTTTTAATAGAATGAAATAATGCCTCTAAACATCATTTCAGCGCGTCCGTGACTGCTGCGGCGGGAACTGAACGCAGAGACAATAACATTTTTCAAGATTAATTGCATTTCCATTTGGCTGTATTATGTCATTAGGCTGAAAGTTGTCACTCTTGGCCATAAGGTTTGGATTTATTAACATCCAAACGAGTGCAGTGGAAGTTCACGGTGATAAAAAGTTTTGGATATGCTGCATCTCCACACTTGCAGGGCATTAAATGTCTTTGAACGAGTGCTCTCCGCTTATCACAGGTTTCACATTGAATTCACCCACTAGTTTCTATGGCTTGTTAATCTAATCTGCTGGAGTGAGTCAGCTTACACAGAAGTTAAACACAAAGTGTAGACTTATGCAGGGCTTTTTCTAATATACAACCAATTAGTTTGAGGACAACATTGGAGGATATCTACATTATCGCACAGCTGTTTGCAAGGACTCAAATAGTCAAAACAATAAACCCCATTTGTACAGCATGAGATTTTTACTGATCAAAATTCTGTTACAATGCGCTTGTCAGTCAAAAGAAAGCATTCTCCTTACTCTAACATAATGACGTCAGGCTCTGTGTCTGTGCCTCAAGGTTTCTGTTGGCTACTTGTCTTACAGCAGCCACAGCAAGCAGTGTGTGAGGTCACCATTTAAACTAATCACAAACAGAAGGAGACAACAGTTGGTCGTTTGATGGGCTTTTGCCCTGCAACAGCTCATCTTTTAAAAAAAGAGAGAGAAAAAAAAGGAGACAGTGTTTACAGTGTGCAGCTGGCAGGAGTGGACATTTGTAACAGAGTAATAGGTGGAAGTCAAGCAACTCTGATTTCTAGTTCAGCTGTTGGGAGCTAAAATACTTTCAAGGCTGCTGTGAAAGTAAACCAAATGTGCTCTGACAGCAGAAAAAGGTCTGCAATGCCTCAACCTCAGACCAGACTCGGTTTGAAAAAAACAACAACCATATCTATATATATATATATTTCCAGATGGAGAAGACAGAACCTTAAATGGGACATGATAAAGTGACAATGCAGCTGTTTCACTGAAAACTGCAACACATGGGAAGGAAGAGCTTCTCATGTGTTGAGCTTGGGATAACAAGCCTTTACTCTTGTGTTTACAAGGTGAATAGATGTCATGAAAGATCCCAAGACAACCGCTGGTTACCAGAAACCACACACACCCTGCTGCAAGGGTACTGTTGTCAGCTCTTACAACCCTAGCGTGACAAAACTCCATGCCATGGCTCAACCACAGAATGTAAAGCACGCTCTAGTAAATAACCACAACCCAAGCCACATAAAATGTTCCCCTATTTATACTTTTTTACAGCATTTACAGAGCATGGAAAGGGTTTGTTTGGTTTAACCCATCACATTTGAATTGAACATTTTCCCTTTAAAGGCACAGGCAAAGCTGAAATAATCAAAAAACATTTGAGGGACTAAAAGTATTTATTATTTATTTATTCATTACAAAAAAGTACACAAACAACAAAAAAATGTTGTGCAATCTGAGCATTAAAATTAAAAACGTGAACATCTGAGAGGATGCATCTAGTTTCCACCACTGAATTTGACAGACTTTGTCAGACTGAGCGTGACAGAAGGAATCACAACAAATGTCGGCCGCACATAACAACACGATGAATGAGGGCACACACGCCTTTGCTCAGAAAAAATGGACGTACAGTTAAAGGAGCATCCAAAGAAGCAGAGTCTTCCAGATGGAATGATGAGGATGGCTTTCCCATTCTGTGAAAAATCGTGTGGGCAAATAGATGATCAGTATCAGAAATGGTGGGATCATCTACAGCGAATCTCGGTATGTAAGAGACGAGGCTGTAAGCCAATAGCTGGAGACACTGCTGGAGTAGAATCACTGCATGAGATCGGGAACACTTCCCCAAACCATCGTCATCACTGCATCCACAAGTCAAAACTATGCCATGCAAAGCACACTCATACATGGCCAAGATCCACAAACTCTCTGCTTGTTTAAGGACTGAGGTAACGTGAAAAACTGTTCAAACTGTTTCTGGGGTCTGAAAGCAAAATTTTCAATTCTGTTTGGAAATCATCCTCTGGGCTACAGATAACAGGGATTATCCAGTTTGATCAGCATCAGTAATCGGGGGACATGAGTGCACATGGCATGACGCAGCAAACATTTCGATGTTGAATAACCACCTGGCTTTTCTTGCTGTTAACTCTTAGTTAGAAAAACAGTTCCAACTTGTTAAACTCGTTATCTGCTGGAGATCATTTTTCAGCATCACCTGGATGTCCTTGTTTGGCCTTCTCGCAAAGGAAGACATCATTTTTTATCGACTAGAACAAAATGAAAGAAAACATTCTCACTTCAGACGAGGGTGAGAACGCAGCGAACCTGAGCTGTTGACCTGTAGCTTAACTGAGTTAGCTGTTAACACGTCAAGTGTAAAACATTGTGGGGCAGAGGCGTTGCATCTGAGACCGCCCAGGCACGTTAAGTTCAACAGCAACAACAAATGAGACCAAATTTACATTTATAAAAAATACTTAGAAGTGCTGATTTATTTATTTCAAAAAAACAAAAAAACAGCCTCCAGTTATACTAGTCCACGTATGTGGCGTGTCTGCCTGTTCACAACGGTTGATTGACCAAATTAGTGCAGTCTTTCACACAATGAAAACATCTGGCACACTGTGAAATTAAAAATTCAACAGAGCAGGTGCAGCACGTTTAAAATGAAGTCTTCAGTTTCCAGATTCCTGCAGAGTGTTGCTTTAAACTCATTTTTGCTTATCGCAGCTGCATATTTAGAAATGTTTCCGCCAAACGTGAGACCATAAAAATATCTTAAATGTAAATAGGAATGTAAATAAGCTCAACTTCATCACTGAATACATGGTGTTTGTGCCATTTATACAAATTACATGCATGCATTGTATGTTATGAATTCTAATTTACAACATGAAGAGTACCCCAGCTTTTTTATTAATTAAGTATGTAAGTGAAGTAAACCAGCCCACTTGCATATTTATCTCACTCAGTTTTATTATCTTCACCAGCTGGCCAAGTTCACAGTCACACACTTCTACCTCTTTTCAGGTTACCATGCGATATTGTTGGACAAACGTCATCTTGGCTTTGGTATCCATGGCAACCCTAGCACTGTGCCAAAGTGGAGATGGGGACTGGGGTTCAGGCTTTGACATCTACTCTGTGATAATGGCCACCAATAACACATTGCAGGCTGTTGGTGATGAGCCTGCGAAGGTCAAAAACAGCCACGACTGGACCACATCGGCAGCATCCTCACCGTCACCTACACCTGTGCTCCACCACGAGCCCCAGCCGGACACGTGCTCGGTCCACTTCAGCACCAACACTGCTTCAGCTCGAAGGCTGAAGGCCCAGAGAGAGGAGCTGGCCTACCTGCAGGCCATACAGCATGGGAACAAGGCAGTGATGGAAAACTTGGTGCAATTTGTAGGGAATGAGCTGGGAGATCAGCGCTATGAAGATGTGATCAAGGAAAATGTCATTGGCATTCAAGAGGACCAAAAGAGCTGGCATGAGGTGGTAGAAAAAGCAGAAGAGGATCTAAAAAAGCAGCTGGAGGGAGACGTACCGGACTCCTTCTCTGGGATCCACAAGTGAGTGCAGTAAATCAAATGTGTTTGTGCCAAACGTCATAAAGTTAACAGCTGAAATGTAAAGACGACAGTTAAAAAGAAAAAGAAAAAAAACCTGCTGTTTGTTTCTGTTGTTAAGATTAATTAACTGTGGTAGCACATATACTGAAGATATTGTGGGGAAAGACGACGTAAAAAAGAAAAGATATAGGTTGACTTAAGTCTATCACCAGGCAGTTGCTGGTTATTGAAATGTGAAATTCTGAATATTTTTCCTCTCTTAAATTTATGATTTATGTTAAATGGGCATTTTTTGAGGTTTGGAATTTTTAATTGATAAATACAAGCGTTGGAAAAATTTGATAACCATTTTTCATCATTTCCATCAATCATAAATTAAAACACTACCCATGTAAACAAAAAGCAAAACTAGATTAAACTACATTAATCATTAATAATAAAATAGTAATTATTTACCAAACTGAGACTCATTTTAGGTATCTGAAGCTGACGCACTGTGTAAAAAAAAATTTCTAATATAAAAGAGAAACAGACTAACAGGTGGGGTTTTTTTGGAAGTACTTAAACACCCCGCAATTAGAAGAAATAAATCTCTGGATAATCAGCAGGTGACACAGGGAAAAATGCACTGAAATGAAAAAGATTGAGGACTAAATACACACAAGGGAACTATGGTAACAAGGCGAAGATGAACTCAATCAGACAATAACAAGGGCAGGAGAAGAACAAAGAACAAAAAGTATCACATAGAGACCCGGTGGCATATAAGTGATAGTTTCTTGAGCACATGTGACCCCCCGTTATATTTTCATGTCCTCGCATTTTCTTTATCTTACCCTCTGCTGTTGTTTCTTCTTGTGTCCGGTGCTTTCTCCTTGTCATCACTCACTCGGCCGGGCCACCTGGACTGTTGGTCCTTCGGAGCAGAATCAGAGAGGAGTCCTTGGCCTTTGAAGACATGCTTCGTGCTGCAGCGGACATCGCCAGCAGGCTGGAGAGCTCAGCACAGGCCCTGCACGCTTCATTCACCAAGCAAATGAAAGACATTGTGAAAATCCATCGCTGAGAAAGCATTGAAAAGTGTTTTGAAAAGTGTTTGCGCATCATCCTTGAACTTGTGAATGATGTTTGGCATTCCGTGAGGTCCCAAATTCAAGAAATATACCCTCTCGCCATTTTATAATTGTATTTTTATGTACATGTGCTGAGCAGTTCTGGGATGCAACAGTGTGTTAAGGTTAGACTTCACATCAACTGAAGCAGTCAACGAAGATGGATTGTTGACACCTCCCTTTCACTGAATATCTCGTGGAATTTTTGTGAGGTCAAATATGGGAACAGCATGCAGTGCAGCTTTGAGCTAAGCTCCGTGTTTATGGATCAAAATAGATGGGCCTTCGGAGAACAAAACATAATGACTCTGTTACTCTTCTCCAGGGGAAGCTATGATTTGGCCATCTGGTTCCAGGGTAAGGGTGGAGTCTGGGATATACTTATAATGAC